TTTTTTTTTTTTTTGGAAGAAACAACCCGAGAGAATGCTAGGGGTGCTGATAAGAGCAGTCACCGCTAGCATGCTCGGGGACGCTCCATCTAATGGTGGGAAGCAACACCTGCTGGAAAACGGGTCCAGCATCCCTCAACATCATTTAGGAAGGGCCAGTTTGTAAGCCAGAGTCTCACGGGGAGACACATCAGAAACAGCCAAGATTTTTCTTCCTAAAAATAAAAAGAAAAAGAAAAAGAAATGGAGAACCAGAAATTCTCCCTTTTTTGTTTTTTTTGAAAAAAGGAGTCAATCCCATGGCTAGGAGAGGTGATAAGAGCACCCCCTCCTAGCAGCGGGCTTCCTGGTTGCTCCACTCTATTGGTGGGGAGCCGCATCTGCTGGAAACCGGGTCCAGCGTCACATTGCACATCAAGAGTCTGATCATGCAATCGAGTGTCGACCTTCCAGCATTGATTGCCCTGGTCCCCAGGGTATTAACTGAGAAGATAGGCAGTCTTAGAGATTTTGTGACTGCACGGTAATCAAAGGATTAGGAAATGGACACCGGCAGGGCGCTAGATTGACGCACGGCTGGGCACACATCCCCTTGGACTGACGCATGGTACTATTACAGACACTGCCTGCGCACCACCCAAGGGTAGTCCACGGTGTTGTATGTTGGTTGTGGGTTTCACAGGGTTTGCTTGGTGTGTCCGTCTAGGGTGTTCTGATGTTCTCCCCAGTCTGGCATATCACACGATCATTCCATTTCCGGTAGTTGCTCATAAGGTAGAGTCTTGGATTACATGTTACAAGGTCACGTGTGCAAGCTTGGTTCGGTCCTTCGGGGGGGTCCTTGTCCAGCTGGGCCCGTTCTCTCCTCAATACATGATTCATAGAGTACACATAGCTTGCAAATTATATATCGCTTACAGGTTACATACACAAGTTTCCACACATGATACTGTCTACGCAGATTCAAAGAATATACACACAAAAAACAGACTGGGGAGCTAGTCACTGGTGGGGTCTAGTGCCTGCAGTAGGTTCAGGTAGGTTGGATAGGGTGCCATTGGGTGCAGTTCCTACTGACATTCGGATAGAACTGTCTGGTGGCTATATATATATGGGGCATGTAGTTCATTGTCTGGGCCCGGCGTCCGAAGTTCCCGTTCGACAAGGTTCGTCCGATTCCGCTTCCACCAGGGCTGGGCAATCTATCARCCCTGGTGCCTATCACTGCTGTTCGGTCCAAGTTGCCCGCCCGTTGGTAGGGCAATGGTCCTGAGTGCTGGTCACACTGAGGTAGAATAGTGGGATAGGGGGTGCGCTAGGAGTATTGACGTGAGGATGGGTTGCGAGGTGGTCTCATATTCCAGGACACCCGCGGCTCACAGTTCCAGGTGATCACTGTGCACACACTGACTGGCCTCTACAACACCCTGGACTTTTAAGGGGGGGGGGAAAAAAAGAAAAAAGTTGAAGAGGGTTTCTGGCAATTCTGGCAATTCCCCGCCCCGTCTGTGATCCTCCAAAGAGATGGCCGCTTGTAGTCGCTTCTTAGACCGCCGCTCGGTCTTCCGTGTATCTGACCAGATGGCTTGCCTCGTCAGGTCCTCTTCTCAGGGTCGTGGGGGTGGCTGTGGTCCCCCCTGACCGGCACCAGGGAGAGGGACCTGGCCTGGCCTTAAGGCTGGGGTTCTGTGGGCCCCGGGGGGCACCGGGGGCCTGCACTAAGACGAATGTATATGGGAGCGTTATGTCACAAGTTCAGTCAGGGAGACGGCATGAGGAGCATGAGGAGGAAAAGGGTCCGGGAAGTCCGTAGGGGGGGGCAGGGGACAGGAGGGATCAATGCATGCCCAATCCTTAAAATGAAAGCGGTAGTCTCTCGTATCCTCTAAATTTTTTTGGCCATCCATCTTGTCCCCACTACCACCGCTATCCAACCTCCCCTCTCCCCCACCAACCACTCCTTGCAAAACCCCGTGATTGCCTGTCTGACATCACCAGTTTGCTTGTACAGGTCCAGCTGGGGGTTAAGCTCATGCCATCTTCGGGTTATCGGCAGCTGGATCTGCTGCTGTATCTGTTGTGTAATCTCTGCTCCTCCTAACTGCACCTTCTCTCTCTTTTTTCCTTCTTTTTTTTTTTGAACAAAGCCCTCTTCCAAGGCCTCTATCCCGGCGGTGGTGAGAGAACCACCAGAATTGAGGCCTTGGCTGGCGAGCTGCTCCATCTGCTCCATCTATTGGTGGGGAGCAGCACCTGCTGGAAAGAAGGGTCCAGAGTCCCTTGGATACATCAATTAAGTTCCGTAGGCTATATCCATTGGTCATCCTACTCTGGAGCACCCTTTATCCCATGAAGCTGCTGATATCCCCTTCGCCTTCTGGGGCTCCTTCTTATCATCTGGCCCAGCCCTCACCTGGATATCCGCACCTTCTCGATTGCAACGAGGCATCTTTGCCACCATAGTGCCCACAGCACCGCCCGTCTTCCCACCCTGAACATGTTCTCCCCAAGGGCCATCAGTTCCAATGGGGGTGGCCACTGCCCGGCAAGAGTCGCTTGCCAGGACCAAGGCCAGGGGACCTCCAACCCCATTTTCCTCCAAACCCAGTCCCACCATCTCCAAGTGAACTGAGCAAATGGACATTGCATAAAGATGTGTTCGATTGTTTCGGCTCTTTTGTGGAAAGGGAACAGCTTCAAGCATTGTGGTCACCATGGTGTTGCCAGTCCTTTCTGCTCAAGGCTGGCATGATCTATCAGCCAGTCGGTGGTCAGTAGGCAATGATGTCCAATCTGCCATTGCAGTGAGGTGATCTTAGCTGGTTTGCAATTTCATTCTTGAAACGAACTATCATCTGCAACCGCGCGACTTCCTGCGCAAGGTCGATGTGGGAAAACGGGAGGGCCATAATGGATGACGGGCATACACACGGTTCGGTTGGGCAAATTGCAGGGATACCCTCGCTTCTTTTTCGCTTTTGTGGGAATTCGTTGGGCCAGCGCCGGGAAAACCCCGCGCCGACGATTGGATGGCTGCGCCATGACGGGCGAAAGAATTAACTGTACCATAGCTCCTTTCTTATTCTGCTGTGAGCAGTAGGAATTTTGGCGCGATTAGCGCGCGGGAATTTTCATTTATGAATTTTTAACTAATGTCGAGCCCCCGCGGGCTCTCGGAATTGCTCTTCCTTTCGGAATTTCCTTTCTATAATTAGGACTTAGGCTAGGAATTTAGGTACTCTGAATTTTGATGCGCAGCGTTCGCACACATCTTGTGGCACAAGGAACTGGGTTCTGACGGGATCGCGCCTTTAATCTTGCGCAACTGTCGTTTTTGGCGGGCGCGATCGTAACTGTAATCCTTCTTCTTTCTTGATTCTCCTATGTTGCCAACCTTCTTCCTTTTTCCCCGTCTTGTATGCTCTGTTCTAATTGGCCGAGGCGCCTGCATGACCGGATTGATGCGTGGAGAGTGGCTACGACCCCCACGCCGCAGCCTCGCCATGCAGACATAGGCACTTCCTCTCTTCTCTTCCTGTCTATCTGGGCTTAATCCCGTACCTTTCGCGCAGGCATGCATGTTATAAATTTCGCAAGCACAATTAGATTGCTCTCTAAGAATTTCGAGGTTAGCGCGATCAGTGAGGGTCGGCTAACGAGCACGTTGGAAGGTGAGTGAGTGTGAGAGTTAGGCGATCCGACGAGCTGGTGCCAAGTATGCGGGGTTGACGTGTAGGCCATGACGGACTGTTGCGCACGGGCGAACCTGACGGGCATATGCGGGCTAAGCAGGGTGACAACTCTGTGTGGATACGCGGCGACGGACTGCCCGCAGCAGGAGAGAGAGAAGGAGAGAGAGCAGTGGTGTGGGTGTGGGATAAGGCTTCCTTTTGTTGTTCTTTTCATTTTTCTTTTGTCCATCTGTATAATTTTGGATTCTGATATGGCCGATCTCTTTATCACGACCCTTTTTTTTTTAACTTCTCGCGTATATTGTCTCGGATTTTCCTTGTTTTTTGCTTGGTATGTATGCATGGAATGAATGTAGGTTCTCTTTTGTTAGCGGTCTTTTCGATCTATTTTTACGATGCGTGTTGTCTCTGACCAGTGTGCGACTGCATGAGATGCGCGATCAGGCCTGATGGGTAATGCTCACTTTGGATGTCTGATGTCTAGTTGTTGATCTTTTTCGTCACCTATGTGGCATGTAGTGATTGATAGGATAATTGCATTTACGGTTGAATGCGATCGGCACACGGAACCAATCGGTTGTTCCTTATGTACACGCGTGCGTACGATCGAAATCTCGAGAAAACCGAGTCCCCACGTACGCACTCGCCCGCGTAAGTCAACTTTAACCTTGTGTAAGGATGTGGGGGATGCGACTTACTTAACAGACATGGCTACCAGATCTCCTTCCTGTGCGTCTGACTACGAAACTTTGAGGGATCTGGAATATCACTAATATTGGGAAGGTGAACAACTCAGGCGGCGGGGAAATTTAAGAAATCCGGAATTCCCTTGCCTGACAGAAAACGATCGCTTATGCGCAAGAGATTTTCACTTTACCATAACCAGCGACCCCGGTGCCCCGACTACCTGGAAACATATAACACACAATATTTCATATCCCCCGGCTTCGCTGTTATTACTACCAGCTTCCCTTCTTTCCATATCCTCCTCCCGTATCACCAACTCACAGTAGTACCGTGGAATTCCATAGCTCGCTACAGGCCAAGCCCGCCGTGCGAGGGTTGTCGATATCACCCCGCGAGCTTCGGGAACTACCCGACAGGCCCGAACCGAAGCCGAGCGGCAATTGCACAGCCTTCGCGTACGGCCTGCTTCGATGGAACCCGAGGCCTGTTACGGGCAGCACGGACCGAATCGCGCGACCAACCCCAAAGACGAAATCAGCGGCGATGGTGATTCCTTTTTCCTTTTGGCCTTGAACGTTAAACCTGTTGGCAGAGGCAATGTTGTTGGGATTTTGTTCAAGAATGCGAGAGTGTTTAAGCCTATCTGTACGGTATTAGCAGCAAGTGCCCCGGATTTTTAACCTGGGATGCACTGCGCATGTCATCTACCTTATGTTGCACGACATCAGCTACCTCTCTTTTGAGTGTATCCCCTTTTGCACCTGTACCCCTGGAACTTGCCACAGGAGATCCCAGTTCCGACCTGGGACTCCATCCCCCACTTTCCTAAAATCCTTGGCACACCCCTTTTTCGCACTTCCGGGCCCCCATCCCACTTCGATCAGGAAGTCGCGCTGGGCATGAGGTTGGTATCGGAGCCGACACGTGGCAGGCTCTGGGCTGGACAGGTAGGTGATTAAGGTTACCGTAGAGCGATTTGGCTAACATAGGACGTCCTCGAGCACGGAACGCGCCACGACGCGATCCTATAGTCACAAGAAATAGGTCGGGTGCTCGGCAGGCGACCAACATGAACGCCAATCAACAAAACCCCAATCAAGCTCAGTCGGCGCCTGCACCATGAGCACGGACACTTGTAGCCCCACCCGATCTCTACCTTTTCGACCCGGCCCATCATCTCGTCGGAGCATGGTTGGCCACGCTCCGAGGCAGTATGACAATGACGAAGCACAAATTAACATCCCCGCCCGATTGGGAGGAGATGCACATCACGGGTCTAGTACCTATGTCTGGACGGATCTCCCGACATTTGAGCGGGACTTTTTGAATCGATTTGATTATATCCACCCCGAACAGGCTCTCTTCATGATTAAAGATCGGCTTCAAAAACCTCTCGAATCTGTCACGGAATACCGCAATAGATTCTATTGAATGTTCGTGAAGACTGAGCGAGGAGAGCAAGTAGGAAGAGACTTATTTATCGATGGACTCCACAGCAGGACAATGAGGGCGAAGCTGCGTAAACAGTTCTCCCCCATCACTCGTACGCTGCAATATATTATGGCCGCCGCGGAAGCAATAGAGCGAAAGTTCGCCGCGAGTTTCCTAAAAGGAGAAGATTACCCCAGAGAGGGGGATTCGCCGGAGTTGGCTAGGGCCAAGGCCGAGCTAGCCACACTGCAAAACAAGTTTGAAAGTATGGGATTTGTGTCCAGACCCGTCACCTATTTGGAACAGATCACACCTAAACGATCGGCTCCTAGTGTGATCACGGGAATGCCTATCCCCATGATGACTACGCCCCCACCACCAGTGGAAAAACCCTTACAGTCGAACGAATCAGCTGCTATATTAAAACTAACCAAAACGCTGATCAATTTGATTCATGAAAACAAGAAGGAGCAGCGTGAACACAATGTCCGAATAGAAGCCATGATGAGATCGATGCGTCCCATAGTTGTATGAGTTGCCCCAATACAACAGGGATTAGCTCCTGCCCCCGCAGCCGAAGGTGTTGTTGGCAATCTGAACATTTATTATACGTGCCATCAATCGGGGCATATAGCCCGGGATTGCCCGGGATTGCCCTCACCGACCCGCGCAACCGCGAGTCGGAGCCGCCCCAGTAGTTGCGGCACCAATCGCCAATGGTCCAGGAAGAGTAGGAGCGATGTTGGAAGAAATGGAGGGAGGAGGAAGTATGTTAGTCACTACGGAAGAAGCTTCAGAGCTTATTCCGCTAGATCAGTACGTGACATTAGGATATCCAGGGTTGGGAATGACCGAGACTATTAGAACCGCCCGTGAACAGCGAGAAGTGGCGGAATGGAGACCCTCTCGAGGAGAAATGGAATCCGGAGGACCCACCTTTGTTACTGGGGAAATAGATGTTTTGAACATCATCCGCGCTCTGGATCACCGCATTCCCCTCCCGATCGGACATCTGTTGTCTATTTCAGAACAGGTTAACGAGCGCATGTTGCAACACTGCAAGGCGAACAGAAAACGATTCGCTCTTGCTAGAACGACGAACATGAAAGGAAAAGCTCCTGACCAAGAGGATGGTCCGAACCCTATCAGTACATCGGAACCTATCCGATTAGGACTAATACAGAAGGACGATCACTTTCTACGGATCAAAGCGATTCCGTGGAAATCCACCAAATGCGAAATTGAAGTCTGGGGAATTTTGTACAATGCCATCATGGACTCATGAGCCGCCGTCTTGGCTATCTCACTAAGAGTAGTAGAAAGAGCTGGAAGAAGAAAGGACCTGATCATGCTTGCGGAGAAAGATCATCTCGTCTCTGCAGACGAAGAAAAGATCAAAATAGTAGGGCGAATGACGAACGTTGCTTTTCGGCTAGGAAAAGTACATGCCCTGGGAGATGTCGTAGTATTAGACGTAAGCACCTACGGCGTTCTTTTAGGATTACCAACTCTTACGACGCTAAAAGCCAATCTAAACTTTGAAAGACGATCGATTGTCCTCCGAAACACGGGAGGAAAACCGTACGCCATACCCATGAGACTGACCCTTCGAACCATGGCGGACACAGCCCCACCGTCTCCTTCAATAGGAGCCCTCCGAGTGATTACCTGGGAATCTCCCGCGGAATCCCCGAGAGAGAAACTGGAACCCTCGAGCGATACTCATGACAGTGACGAGGGTGATTTAGTGGTCCGAGAGCTGGTTCAACAACGTATTTATTACCCCGCTCGACGAACGATTACGAGATCATTCAGCATAATGGAGCGAAACCTACAAAGGACACGTGTCATGATCTTGGGTGAGCCTCTCGTACAAATTTCCAGGATGGTCAATTCTTTGGAACCCCCTCGAACCCTGTACGAAGGCGTTTCCCCTCTTCTTGCAAGATACAATGACAAGAGGCATTTTTGTGATATCACGGACTTACCCCGTTCCCTGTTACCACCAGGAAAAGAGATAAGATTGTTACGCTTAGGGGCCGAGGCCAACTGTTTGGAACCCCCTGGGCGTCCCGAAGTCGAACCCAACGGCCTCGGAATCAAGATCACGGAAAAGCCTGTGCGATGGCAGGACGTCCGCGACGGTGTGACCCCGGAAGAACATGTGGCAATCCGGGAAGAAGATGCGCAGATGATGGCCACGTTGTTTTTCTGGCGATCGGATAACTCCTTCATCTCCACACCCCCTCCCAGAAGCGTTACACGAACGAACACCAAACAGATCTCCGTTTAGATACTTGACCAACTGTACGAATTGCATGTGCCGCAGTACGCATCAGACGAAATCCACCACCTAATCGTAGACATTTTACAGGAATACCAGGGAGCGATTAGTGTGACCAACACGGATATCGGTTCATCGTTAGTGATTGAGCACGAAATCCAGACCGGAAACCACCCTCCGATCCACTGCAAACCATATCGATACTCCCTCGCGCAACGAAAGATAGCTCTACAAAGGATTAGGGAATTCGAAGCTAACGGATGGATTGAACCGGCCACTGGGCCATGGTCGTTCCCGATCGTATTAGTGCCTAAAAAGAATGGGTCAGTCCGCATCTGCATCGATTATCGAAATTCGAATGATATCACGATCAAAGATGTGTATCCCCTCCCCCGGATTGACAATTTGCTGAATGCGATTGGATGTGCTAATTACTTTAGCAAATTTGATATTCGTCATGGATTTCACCATATCCTGGTTAAGGAGGAAGACCGGCCTAAGACAGCTTTCGTTTTGTTCGAAGGCACGTGGCAGTGGGTTCGGTGTCCGATGGGGATCTGCAATGTGCCAGCTACATTTCAAAGAGCGATGAACGTGGCGTTCCAGAACTTTGTCAACAAGACTCGGTTAATGCAAGGGATGATTAATTTCTGCATAATTGTGTATATGGACGACATCCTGGTCTACTCGGAATCGTACCACGAGCATGCACAACACATCGAATGGACATTGGGAGCATTGAGAGATGTCGGCTTCAAGATTGCGTTGGAGAAAAGCGAGCTTTTCCTTTTGAAAATCTCGTTTCAGTGATACGTGGTGACACGGGGAGACTTGAGGCCCGATTCGAGAAAAGTCGCGGCTGTCAGAGACGCTCCAGTTCCCACGTCGTTGACGCAGGCTCGAGCCTTCCTGGGACTGGCGTCATATTACCGTCGATTTATCAAGGGATTCGCTGCTATCGCACGGCCCCTAACGAATCTGCTAGGAAAGGACCAGTCTCTGAGCTCGGATGCGGAGTGCGAACGGGCCTTTATCACTCTCAAGGAAGCCTTGGCCACGGCACCTATTTTGATCCGACTGGAGCCGACAAAGCAGGTCATTCTTATCACAGATTAGCAGCCCGAGACGATCTTCACTATTCTAGCGCAGAAGGGGAACGACGGTCGCAAATACGTCATCGAGTACGCGTCCCATACCGTGTCGGATGAGCGAAGGAATGATTCATCTCCCAAGGGAGAATGCTACGCCTGGTTTGGGGAATCCAGAATTTTCATCCGTATCTTTACGGACAAAAGTTCCTCCTCGTCACCGATCATAAGCCGCTATTGGCCCTCAAAAGGCTTACTAACTATACGGGTATGATTGGACGTTGGGCGGTACGACTACAAGAATACGATTTCGATATCATCCACCCTAAGATGGGGAGGCACGGGATCGCGAACGGATCGACGCGATTGCATCGACAAACGAAGGTCGCCAAAGACGAAGAGATCATCCCGTGGAAGGAACCAGAACCGACGAGTGGACCCCGGTACAGACAGGTGGCAGTTCCTCCACGTAACAAGAAGCAAGCACGTGGCAATGGGTGACGGAGGTAACTCTGAAGTCCCTCTCTGTCCTAGTTCCTCCTCATCTCTTCTCTCTTTACCTGACAAATTTTGTTATTTTTGTGAAGCAATCTCGCAAGTCTACTCGGTCTGTGTGTCCAAAACTGGATTTAACGCGGGGTCCGCGTTAAATAATTTAACGCGCGTTAAATTCGCATTCAACTCCCGTTCAAACGCGCGTTGGACGGGGAAAAAGGGGGTCCGCAATGATTTTCTTCCTAGGCTAAACATAATCGGAAAAAAATATATTAAAAAAAATGGGGTCGTAGATCTTTTTGAGGTCTACGACCCCATATTTTTATTTTTATTTTTTTAACTTTTAATATATTTAAAAAAAAATCAAAAACATAAGCACAATGAAAAAACAAAAACAAGAAATGACATGACTCTTATTTTTTTTGGTTTCACAGAGATTTGTTAAGGGCTAAAACAAAAACAGAAAAAAAAATATATATATATCCTCCTGATGAGTCGGTGAAACTCCGACGAAACAGTTTGTCACAGCCCTTCGTTTGTTGTCCTCTTCTCCCTCTCTGCCTACGGTTTACCGGGCAGTTCTATTTGACGATATATAGGGTTGTAGATCTTTCAAAGATGTACAACAAAATAGCGGTGTCTAATGGCCAATATTGTCACAGCATAGCAACCAACAACGTCAACCAAGGTCCTGCACTTCCCCCTACCCCCTGCAACCCCACATTAGCGGTGTCTAATGGCCAATATTGTCTCTGCATAGCAGCCAACAACGTCAGCCAAGGTCCTGCCAACGCTGGCTTGGGGGCCAACGGGTTATCTCTAGCTGGTAGAACACCAAGCTTGCCCAGGCACGTATACGACGCAATGGGGATTGAACCCATAACCTCCTGAATGCAACTTCTTTGTTTTTTTTTTTGTTTTTTTTTTTTTTTTTTAACTTCATGTGTGGGGAGACCACTTATAGGAGCAGCCTCGTTAAGTGGGCCCCAGCGTTGAAGGCTCCATATATTGGTGGGGAGCAGCACCTGCTGGAAATCGGGTCCGGCGTCCCTGCACAATGATATGATGAGTGTCAACTGGAAATCGGGTCCAGCGTCCCTATTCAATGATGTGTGGAGATGCCACAAGTGTGCATCCATTACTATGTGATTTGTGTTCATTTGGTCTGTATATGTCATGCAAAGCCAAATCCATATTCCACTATATCTGCCACGTTACTCTAGATAGCAGGGGCATTGATTACTCCTCAGCGACAGGAAAGGATTGGCAATCTGCCATCGAAGTCTAACCCTAACGAAAAGCATTCTCATCAACCACCACAATACCAACTGAGCTACCTTCTTCCCCCGAATACAACGTACGGTCATTGTAGCTGTATTTAGATTGAAAGATACCCTAAATGCAGCTATAATTACCGTACGTTGTATTCGGGGGAAGAAGGTAGGCCCGCAGGCCGCATATTTGTTTTCCAAGGGAGGGAAAGCAGGAAACGTACTGGTGGTTTTTGGACTTGCTGGGATGTGACCGCAAGTTGGTGAGGGGAGTGCGTTTGATGGAATGACGTATCCCTGTTTTGGGCATACAAGAACAGGGATAAGAGGTCACAGAGAAAGGCTGAGAAAATACGGGAACGTTTCGAGGGGTGTTACCCTCGAGACCTCACCTTGAAAAGGACGGATGATAATCTAAAGTCATGGGTTTTTTTGGGGTGCTTGCTGAGTGTCCGACAGCATTTTCCTTTTTTGGGGAGTGTTGAGATGGTAAAAAACGAAGCGACGATCTGGTCCAGTAAGCCACTGGCGATCAAGAACGGACAAGACTGAAGGTAGCCGCAGTCTCTGGAACCCTGCACAGACTGGACCGGAATACCACTGAACGCTAAAGGATTCCGGTCCAGGTGCTCCTGTTGAGAATCGAGTACAAGAAGAAGGGTTTCTCGAACTCTTTTTTCAGGAAGATCCTGGAAGGTTTCACGAACAAGCACGATGATATCTGGAAACTGACGGCGACCCTCCTGCGATTGTCGTAACGAGTAAAGTTTAAGATAGTGGGTCCAAGCGACAGCGCGATAACCGACCCTCGGTTTCGATTTGATTTGTTTGATTTGATGTTCTATTTTGTTTTTTGTTTTGTTTTGTTTTTGTT